AAAAACGCTGCGGAAACTAGCCCTTTTAGTGCTCCAACCTCGTCAGGTGTCCTGCGTAATACGCACCGCACCTGCTATGCAATGTATATTATGAGTTAATGACTGACAATCTAACATCAGTCTAAAAATATTTTTTAAAATGGCGGATGGCCATAAAACTTTTGAAAAAAATGGCAGAGGCCATAACGCTGAGCCAAATACGCGGTCCCTGGTCGAAGGTAAAACGTTCCAGCCTTGCCATTTTTTTCTAAAGGCCTTTATTTCTTTCCATAACTCATTCATATTTTTAAGTGAATGACAAAGTAGAAAAAAAATTATGTTACTCGTTTCGTCTTTTGAAAAGACTTCTTCAGAATAAAATTAAATATGTTTTAAATAATTTTTATTATTCATTTATTATTTTTAATTTCAATTTCATTTTTTATTAATCCTATAAATAAATGTTATTTTTTGATGTAATCACATAAAAAAATAAGCGGAGAAAATGAAATTCCCATGCTATTTATAAAACCACATCGAGAAAAAAAATCCAAAACGGAGGATTTTTGTCGTCTGATTTTCCAACATGCATAACCTGACCGGCCTTATTCAGAATTCTACCGTTTTTGTTTCTCTTGCTATTCTTGATTTGTGGTATAATGAATATCAGCTCGGAATGAGAAATAGAAGAGGGCGAGTTCGAATTCCAGTCGGATTCGTTTCATTTACTTACCTGCAAATATCATTCGGATAGGTATTCATCCATCATTTTTTCTCCAGCTGTGGGTTGAAAAGCAGGACAGACTGCGGGGAAAATCTTCTGCCTAGTTACACATGAATTACAAGAGACATGACCGCCCAAGCGTCTATCACGCATGTCATTTAACTGATTGGCAGCTGTAAATTTGTTGAGTAAGGTGATATATTTTACGAGCCAGGAACTAAATGTATTGTGGAAGACACAGAAATGAACGTATTTTCTTTACATTTTCGTCTTAAAAAAACACTTTCCCTTCTAATTCTACTGAATTCTTTAAGTTGAAATTATGATCAGACCTACTACAGGGAACGGCTAAACAAAAAGAAAGAACAGCACATAAACTAAGAAAAGTGCTATTAATTACGTGACAGTTCTCCTATAGAGCCTAAGGGCAATGGTTCGAGGCCAGCTCTACATGATACAAAGCAGGAAACATAACATACACAAATAATAATAATAATAATAATAATAATAATAATAATAATAATAATGAAACAAATTCAATATCTAGATTATGTGAACATCTTGCTAAAACTTTTCAAACCTTAGTGTCTGCTTGATAAAACTTGGCGCCGTGTAAATACAAATATTGACAAAAGATCAGACATAAATTCGTTTGGACTTTACGCTTCATAATGACGGTTTCTGTCTGAATAATTATGGTGATCATTATTTACATAACTTACAATCAGGAAAATAGTTTAGTGGATTGAAGCCTCGATTCGTGAATTTGGTGGCATGGTAATGATGAGTTGAGTCCCTGCAAGGGGTCACATACTTGGACTCAGTAGGAACAGTGTGTGCGAAAACTAAGTAATATTAAATAAGAACTAGACGAGATATCCGGATATATATGCAGTGGAACGTGAACAATCCACCTCCGTAGATTAAATAACGTGTTCATTTCTAAATACTCTATAGGTTACCTTGATCGACATGCATCTGTTGAAGGCCGTTGGTACAAAAGTTGAAACGTTGTTCTAACAAAAACAAAAATTAAAACCTAAATAATGTAAATAATATTGGAATATTATCTTAAAGCTAATCGACCAGTCATAGGAATAAAATTATACAAACAAAAGGAAACACCTCTTCATAGTTATGTCAGGGTCATCAGATGAGTATATATCTAATAAATAATATGACAATATATATATATATATATAATCGACTCTCCCATCGCGTTCGACGTATGAGGGTCAGGCCGATATGTCCCCAGGAAACCGACATCCCGACACCGGCACATGAGATTTGATTATAGTGGTGAAGGCCTCGTGCAGGACCAGCCACACTTTTTGGAGGGACGAATAGAGAAACCTGGTGCACCGAATGCATGCCACAAGGTTCCCAAACGACCCTCAGCAGGTTTTGGAGGCACGGTGGAGCAGTGGATAGCGGCTTGGATTGAGGAATCGCAGAGCCGAGTTCGAACTCCAGTCGAATCCATTACATTCACTTACGTGCTAATACCCTTGGGAAAGGTATGTATCCTCTTCATCTCCCTCCAGCTATGGGTAAAATAGCAGGACAGACTGAGTTCTATAGCCTTGGATGGCAACTGGTCTAGGAGAAGGACAACTCTGATATATATATATATATATATATATATAGACACACACACACATATATATATATATATATATATATATATATATATATATGTTGAAATTAAAATTGAAAAGGTATGTCATCTTGCAGCTAAAGTTCAACAATTTGGAGTTCAGGGAATCATCATAACAGGTACAGCTCAGAATGTTGACA